TTATGTGACCAGATCCCCCTCTTCAGACATGCATTGCTACTGGCTTTATGAGGGCATGAAGCAATCCCTATACGATATATGTAAAATGATTAATATAATATAAATGGTACATCTGAATCTTTCAGTGCCAGGCAAGGTTGCACTGAGACCAGCAATCCACTCAAACACAACTTCTCTTCAACTCCGCTTGAAAATAATAAGTGATGTCGTCGATCGTCATAGAAAAATATAACTTTGCTTCATCGACAATCTCGCCAAACAAAGTGATGTGGAAATTGCCCGGCGGCGTTCTTTGAAATTCATATCTGTCCACTCGTGGAAATGTGGCGGAGTGGTTGATGTGTCGGGCTTGCATACGACACTGTCATGGTTCGACTCCCGATTGAGATGTTGATAAGACCGATGCGAGGTCGAAACTGCAGTCCACTCCAGTCGGGATGAGAAAACCTTTTTGGAAGGCAAGGATATGTGAAATTGAATGGAAACATCAGCTCTACTCATAGCATTGTAGGAAAATTCATCTATCAGTACCTTGATCCCTTTAAATGAAATTGGGTCAGCACATAAACATCTTTGGATAAGTGTAGCTAATACGTGTATTGTGAGGCTGCTTTTGGCATGCTCTAGAAAAGGCATTACTGTCTGCACTTTGACCAGCAGCTCATCTGCTTTTCGGCCCAAATGGCATTTTAACATTTTACAATATTCTCTTTTATTTCTGAATTTGCACGTCCAACTCTCTTCACTACACTTGCCTGCTTACAATCACACAAAACGCCCACTCCAAAACGCTACTAACATCAACCGTTTGGCAACACCAACTCAAACTCCAGTCGAAATGATCTGGCACTCTGACGTCCAGCTTCAGACTCCGCTTCATCTCCTCACCACCAGCTTCAAGCCGGAAAATTTCGAGAATACGCCATCCTCAACTGCCACTTTAGAGCCATTTAAAAGCTCTGACGGACCAGTTGCTATGTCACCCGTCTTGCAGGCAAACCTATCCGATTTGTACGATTCCATGGTGAAGA